AAGATATAATTTAAATTTAGTGATGCATAATTTGACATGTAATAATAATTCAAATTTGACATTTATTTGTAAGAATAATAATGATAAATTTCATTTGATTGATATTAATAATTTAACTGAGAAGTTTTTCACAAGAAATAGGTATTACGTATATATACAAAGTATAGTATATGACTGATAATAAATATGCTATCTTATTATTTATATTTTCTTACTCAACCAAGGATTTGGCTACCCAGACCGCTGACTACTAGCAGACATTACATTGAATTTGGAATCAGTTCTAAGTGATTTAAATTAGAAAATGAGACAATAGAGTAACAATTTAAATTATCCAAAATGTAATCCACACATAGTTAATTGTATAATTTCTCATAAAAAAAATCCTAAATATATATAAAAATTTTGTACAACCAACTTCAATATAAATTATTAAAAATAACTCAAAAATTGTTATTCCTTGATCAAATTTATATGAAATCGGTTCACCCAGATAACAGGTTATAAGGTTACACACATAAAAAAACATACAGTCAAATTGAGTACTTTTTGAAGTTGGTAAAAAATATGCAGTGTTAATGGGAGACTTCAATGCAAAACTAGGCACAAGAGAGAACGGTGAGCTGAAAGTAGGGAAATTTGGAATAGGGCAACGGAACCCAAGGGGCCAGCAGTTGGCTGACTTCACGGAGAAAGAGGGACTCTTTATGATGAACTCTTTCTTCCAGAAGCGGCCCCACAGGAAGTGGACCTGGTCGAGCCCCGACGGTTCGACAAATAATGAGATTGACTTCATTATGACGACCAGACGACAACTGTTCAGTGATGTCTCAGTGATTGCGAGGGTGAAAACCGGCAGCGATCACCGAATGGTTAGAGGCACACTGAACCTAAACGTTAAGTTGGAGAGGTCTCGTCTAATGAAGTCAACGCTCCGTCCCCCTCGTGCTCTAATCCAAAGTCCCGAAACCTTTCAGCTCGAGTTACAAAACCGTTTTCAGTGCCTAGAAGACTGCAATGAAGTGGACGATATGAATGACAAGCTCGTGGAAACTGTCCATGCGGTCGGAGCTAAGTTCTGCAAGACCCGCCGCAGAAGAACACAAAAACTCTCCGATCACACTCTTAATCTCAAGGCTGTTAGACGGGAGATGAAGCTACATTCTTCAACAGATTTAACAGCATACAGGCAACTGAACAGACAGATCGCAAAATGCATGCGGCGGGACTTACGCAACTTCAATACAGCTCGTATTGAAGAAGCGATCGAGCGGAACCAAGGCTCCAAAGTCTTTGCCAGAGATCTGTCTGCCAGAAAGCGCCAACTGTCAAAGCTGAAGACAGAATGTGGCAGCATCGTTTCCGGGGCACCTGAGATTTTGAGTGAGATTGAGAGGTTCTATGGGCAGCTGTACACGTCATCGTTAGAGCCGCACGCAAGTGTGAGTAACGATCCAAGAGCGAGTCTTATCCGACATTATTCCGATGATATCCCGGACGTCAGTCTGAGCGAGATTAGAATGGCTCTCCAGCACCTTAAAAACGGCAAGGCCCCAGGCGAGGATGGAATTACAGCGGAGCTTCTGAAAGCGGGTGGAAAACCGGTACTTGAAGTCCTTCAGAAGCTCTTTAATTCCGTCCTCCATGTTGGCATTACACCGGAGGCGTGGAGCAGAAGTGCGGTGGTCTTGTTCTTCAAGAAAGGCGACAACGCTCTCTTGAAGAACTACAGACCGATTTCCCTTCTGAGCCGCGTCTACGTGCTGTTTTCGAGAGTCATTACGAATCGTCTCGCGCGCAGACTTGACGACTTCCAGCCTCCCGAACAAGCCGGTTTCCGAAAAGGCTTTAGCACCATAGACCACATACATACCCTTCGGCGAATTGTACAGAAGTCCGAGGAGTACAATTTGCCACTATGTCTGGCGTGTGCAGACTATGAGAAAACCTTTGATTCCGTCGAAATTTGGGCGGTGCTGCAATCCCTTCAGCGATGCCAAGTTGACTGTCGGTATATCGAAGTGTTGAAGTACTTGTACAGTAGGGCTACGATGGCTTTCCGAGTACAGAACCAGAGTACGAAACCTATCCAATTGCAGAGTCATATCCCCGAAACTCTTTACCGCTGCATTGGAAGATGTTTTCAAGCTTCTGGACTGGAAAGGATACGGTATCAACATCAATGGCGAGTACATCACTCAACTTCGATTTGCCGACGATATAGTCCTTATGGCAGAATCGCTGGAGGACCTAAGCACTATGCTCAATGACCTCAATAGTGTTTCCCAACGGATAGGTCTTAAGATGAACATGGACAAAACAAAGATGTTTAATGTTCATGTAACACCTATGCCGGTAGTTGTTGGGAACACTAAGCTCGAAGTTGTTGACGAGTATGTTTACCTGGGACAAATAGTCCGATTAGGCAGTGATGACATACGGAACTGAGACGTGGTCCTTCACTACTGGCTGGATGAGGAAGCTCAAGGTCGCTCAGCGAGCTGTGGAGAGGGCTATGCTCGGAGTTTCTCTGCGTGATAAACTCAGAAATGAGGATATCCGCAGTAGAACTAGAGTGACCGACATAGCCCAACGGATTAGTAAGCTGAAGTGGCAATGAGCCGGCCATATAGCTCGAAGAACCGACAACCGATGGGGAAGAAAGGTTCTCGAGTGGCAGCCTCGTACCGGCAGGCGAAGTGTAGGGCGTCCCCCCACTAGATGGAGTGACGACCTGGTAAGATATGCAGGAAGTCGATGGATGCAGGTGGCTCAGGACCGTGCTTTGTGGCATTCCTTGGGGGAGGCCTATGTTCAGCAGTGGACTTGTGAAGGGCTGTAATGATGATGAAAAAATATGCAAGGCATGTTAAGGGCAAAGAATTAGAAATTGAATTGTCTTGAAATAGTAACAACACACATATTTTTTGTATAACTGAACATTGGTTAAAAGATTATAACTATAATATGTGTAAATTCAGTAAACACCGGGAGGTCAGTTGTAGAGCCTTTTTGTTGAGCGAACTGTAGAAATTGCGTGTGTTTAGTTTGAGCAATTCATTAGCCGCGTTCTGACCAAGCGAGCGGCTTCGCGAAGCAGCCTCGGACATTTGCCGCAGTACACATGCCGCGCGAGGCGGCCTCGGTCTGTAAGTTTTCTAATACGAGGCTGCCTCGCGCGGCAAGGCCGAGCCACCGTGAGCATCGACACTTAGTTTAACTTGAAGTCGAATAGAGACCACACGTGCGTATAGTTTGCCCGAGACCACCATGAGGCTGCACATTCGGAAAGCTGTCGCTACCACTGCCTTTTTAATTATTCTAAGGCTTGCAAAAAAAAAGAAAACAGAAAACTAAACGTTTTTGGATTAAAATCTTATAAAAAAATAGATTACAGGCTGGGAACAGATTGTTTGAAGACTTGTGCTTCAATGACGAAGAAAAAAATTTCACTCGAATGAGTAAAATCGAATTTGACAATGTACTCGTATATTCTCTCATAAACGCCAAAATAAGCAAGAAGGACACAAATTTTCGAGAAACAATCTCCGCTAGGGAAAGATTATTAGTGACGTTGAGATTTTTGACCACAGGAGATTCTTATACCAGTCTACAGTATCTATTTCGTATATCAAAACAAAGGATATCGGTTATAGTTCCTGAAGTCTGTTATGCTATAATTGAGGTGTTAAAGGATTATGTTAAGGTAAAATAAAATTACATATTTTTATTATTTTTTTATTAATCAAATTAGAAAATTGGACAAATATATATATAACCATAACCACTGATAATTTTATTTATTGCATTTTGTACGTATGCTAATGTAATTTTATCATATTTTCTCAAGTCATTTCCTATATATTGGCCATACACATTATAGGAATCATTTTTTTCCAATATATTATCACTTGCACATTGTTGTAAAAGTGTTAATGCTTCAGATATGACGTTATAAGTGAGATCATCACTTTCGTTCATTTTGGATCACTTTTTAGGTATAGTTGACTTTTGTTTAGGTCCTTCCGTTATCGTCGAGTTTGAAGTTTCATTTCTTTCTTCGTTATGACCGTCTTTATTTCAAGTATTATCCAGACTTGCATCCTGTAAAGATAGAAATTATTACTTAATTTTATTTACAGATAAAATCATCCGAAGAAAAGTGGCTTACAATAGCGAAAGAGTTTGAGAGCAAATGGAATTTCCCACATGTCATAGGAGCAATGGATGGGAAGCATGTTATATTACAGTCGCCGATAAATAGTGGCAATGATTATGACTGTTACAAAATGTTTCCAAGTATGCACTATACTTGGACACACTATGTTTGATTTAGTTGACGCTAACTATAAATTTCTGTACGTAGACGTTGGCAGCAAGGGACGTATATCAGATGGCGGTGTGTTTAAAAACACCAATTTATATAAAAAGGTCGAAAAGAAGGAATTGAACATTCCTCCGCCAGAAATATTACAAATACCGTATTAAATTGCAGTGCCCTATTTTATTCTAGGCGATAAAGCTTTTGCTCTCAATGATTACACATTCAAACCTTATGAAAGTACTCCAGAAAGAGGTTCAATGGAAAGGATTTTCAATTACAGGCTGTCCAGAGCAAGAAGAGTTGTGAAGAATGCCTTTGGCATTTTAAGCTCCGTTTTTAGAGTACTGAGGAAGCCGCTACTATTAGAACCAGAAAAATCTACGAAAGTCGTATTGACTACCATATGCTTATATAACTACTTGCATAGAGATCAAGCTTCCTCACAAAGGTTCACTCTCCCAGGATCATTCGATGCCGAAGTTGAAGGGACAGTAATACCCGGCCGATAGCGACAGGATACAGAAATCTCATCAATGCTATCTATCCAAGCCATACCACGGCGAGGATCAACAAATTTAAAAGAAATACGTTCACATTTAGGGAGACATTTCATAACAAACGGAGCAATTTCTTGGCAGAATAATTATCAGTAAATAATAGGTATTCACTTCTTCACCTAAAGTATCTTGTGTATTTCCTGGGTGATTTCTGTCTCCCAGAAAACTGAAGGCTTCATAGGCATACCAATTCGAAACATATATTTCACCACGAACTGCAGTATAAAATAAAATAAAATATTAGAAATTATATAAAAACCGGTGTAACTTTGGATATAATAAAATAAATTTTGTTAACCCTAATCATAAACATTAAATAATAAATACCTGATCCTGTGATTCAGCTTTTTTTTCTCTCGACTTTTCCCTCCTGTAAGACCTTAGTAAAGAGTCCATTTTTTTCTTTGATTCAGCTGTTGGTAGGTTCATTTCCTGGCTTATTTTACTCCATGCATCTTCCATTAGTCCTCTATTTGTGTAATCAGGACATTGCGCATCCCAAAGTCCTCTATATTCACCATATATTTGTATTAATTTAAGACACTGTTCTTTATCCATGATGCACAAACTGAGGCGCCTTTGAGCATCGACAAAAACCGACAATGCTCGGCTCGGGCCGCGGCACGCTCGGGCGAAGCAGCACGTGCGTTTGCCTCGGGCGAGGCACGTCTTGACCGACCGAGGATTTGCCTTGCTCGCTCGGTCAGTACGCGGCTATTGTTGTCATTGTTTACAGATCCCCACATTCTATGTATGATTGTTTTGAAAAAATAATGGAGGAAGTTTTGCTTAAACTTAATAAACAGAATAAATCAGTCGTCGTATGTGGCGACTTTAATATAAATCTCCTTGATATAATTAATAGAATCAGGCGTTACTTTGCGGAAATCCATTATATAAAAGCTTTTACAAAAATTACTTTGCAAATATCCGCGTTATAAAATAAAATGATGTGTCTTACCTAGTATGAAGAGCACCTCCCGCCCTCCCTCAATTGCGTGCACTATCCCCGTCACCACTAATCCCAGCACCGCTACTCCCAACACCACTACAGTAGGCAAGATACACCACTGACAATAATACGACACGTGTTTCGCCTCTACACGAGGCATCCTCAGATGATATAGACTCTATGGTGGCTAACCGCTAAGTGAGCGGCGAGCCAAAACAAGTGCCTTTTATACAGACCAATGATGCAACCGCTCTCTACCTAAGGAGCGAGCGACTGCGTCATGCGATAAAACATGCGACCAATCACCGCTGGACTTACACAGCCGTTTGTAAAATTAAAAACATTTTGTTTTTGTTTTGTTTTGATTTTGTTTTTGTTTTTGTTTTTGTTTTTGTTTTTGTTTTTGTTTTTGTTTTTGTTTTTGTTTTTGTTTTTGTTTTTGTTTTTGTTTTTGTTTTTGTTTTTGTTTTTGTTATGTTTTTGTTTTATTTGTTTTGTTTGTTTGTTTTATTTTGTTTTTGTTTGTTTTGTTTTGTTTTGTTTTTGTTTTTAATTTTACAAACGGCTGCAGCTAGCTTAACGCTGCTATGTTTCGTATGGTGAGTGTAGAGAACCGGAGACCCTATTTACTAGAAACGAGGCATTCTATCTTAGTCCTCATGGGTGACAACGTATCTGCATTTTGATTCGTCATCGAGGATGGATGTAGATGTCAATTCGCCACAGCGACCACTTCACATCAGGTGGACTGTGTGCTCGTTTGTCATACTTATCCTGTAAAAAAAATCTCTATTGAAATTAGGATGTTTTTTAATTTCAATATCCTCACGTATTATCCTTGGAAGGAATCGACGTTCTTTCGCTAGAATTTGTGGTTTATCAAATCTAATGTAATGGCGGGGGCCGTCTAGGATATAATCATAAAAAGCATACTTCCCGGATCGTTGGTGTTTCACGTCAGCTAATACGATAAAATCCGTAAAAGAAGTTTGGTTCAATGTGTAGTGTTAACGTAAATATAAGAAATCATTATGTAAGTGTGTAAGTTTGGTGGACTGTGTGCTCGTTTGTCACCCTATCCTATAAAAAAAGTGTAAGCAAAAGACTTTTAAGAAATATTGTACAGCGTATTCATTCATTCATTCTTAATTCATTTATTGCATGTCACAAAGTATAAAGTTGTTACAATATTTGTGTTTATTATTGTATACTACATTAACCAATCGCTTCTTCCTGTCCATATACCACCTGATTCAGACTTTTACACAATCCAAAATGCTATATATTGTGGAGTTTCTACAGTTTCAATTTACAATGGATACAAAATAATGGACCAAAGAAGTTACTCCTCACATCGGAGAAAACGAATCCCTAAATGGCAAATGAGACTAAAGACAGAATCTCAAATTGTAGAGTTAAAAAAGGGAGACTAACGAAGTACATAAATGGTAATACAAGCACTAAGCTCAAACGCAAAATAGGAAAAATTAGAGCAGCTTATAAAATACATTCTTGGCATTAAAAGGAAAACAAGGAACTAGCCAGTTTTTTAGACAACCTCAAGCAAAAGCTTAGTTCACTTGCAAACCGACTGCGTAGATATAAAGAAACCAGTCTGAGGAAACATCAAAATGCGGTATTTTATATTAATGAAAAAACATTCTACAGAAACTTAACAAACACACATGTCAATAATGATAATAATAAATTAGTAGAGATACTCGAAACAGAACAACTGCATCAATTTTGGTCCAATATATGGTCAAACCACAAAACACACAGAGAAAGCGACTGGATTAAACAGGATAGGGAACTATTAGTAAATTTATGAGAGATGATGTTCGATGAAATAAATATGGCTTTATTAACATCAGTTATTAATAAAACACATTGCTGGAAAGCGACTGGAAAGATAAAATCCATAATGATTGGTATAAAAAGTTTACTTACTTTCATCCGCTCTTACTCTCAAATGTTAACACTTTTATAAAAACACCAGAATTATAGGCAAGCTACATTACACTAGAAACAACTTATATGTTACCTAAAGACCGAAGTGACTCAAAAAATCCAGCCAAATACAGGCGAATTATTTGCCTCCAAAACACTTATAAGATCATTACGTCTTGCCTTAGCCAATTCATTAACATGCACGCTCTCCAAGCGTATCTCCCTAAATATATTAGCAGAACAACAGAAAAGTTGCAGAAAAGGTAGTCTAGATTGTAAAGAACGGTTGATTATTGACCCAATCGTCTCTAACAAGCAGTCATCAAAAAATATTTTAATTTTGTTTATTAACTACAAAAAAGCATTTGACACAGTACTCCATAACTGGCAAATATACATTTTAAAACACTATAAAATTCATCCTCAAGTTATAGAATTCTTAAAAAATGCAATGCTTCATTGGAGAACTACTCTCAAGCTTTACAATGGTGACTCCTGTATAGAGACTGATATAATATCAATCCAAAGGGGAATATTTCAAGGTGATACCTTAAGGCCTCTTTGATTCTACCTGGCTTTAAATCCTTTATCTAGTCTTCTGAATAGAACTGACAAGGGATATTAAATCACCAATGGAAATACACATCACACACTATCACATTTACTTTATATGGATGACATAAAATTGTATGGAAGTAATTTAAAAGATATACATAGTCTTGCTGACATAACGAAAAGCTTCTAAACCGATATTCAAATGGAATTTGTAATAAATAAATCCAGGATTACAATCAATTCGTAGAGGCAAATCAGAACAAAATTCATATACTCTCCTAACAGGTGAAATCATTGAACTTGTAGATGAAAACATTGGCTATAAATATCTAGAATTTACTCAGACTCGACAAATTCACCAAAAACACGTGAAAAAGCATTAGAAAAAGAATTTAAATTACACCTTAACGGTGGTAGAGCCACGCAACAGTTTTTGCTGTTGCACGTATGGGCCGGCTCGAGCCGGGTTGGTACCACGACCTTACAGAATACCGGCGTGAAGTAGAGGCTCTGCTTCTGCGTTTCGTCTGGCGAGTGCAGGTAGCCGGAGGCCCAATTCCCCCCCCCCCCCCCACCCATCAAAATAGTAGCGGAATTACACGAAAGACTACCCCAGGAGGGTACCAGTACCCCTGGAGAATCCCTCGCTGAGCATCCACGACCATGTTATTCCAATCCTGAGCGTGGGTGCTCAGGCTGCCCCGCGTATTCTGGGGGGGAGGGCAAAATTCCGCTCAAAAACATAACTGCTCGGGGCAAACTGAGCAACAATACCAAGGCGACCCCTGCCACGCTATCCGTGAATTTCTGCAACATCAGGGGACTTCACTCTAACCTAAACGCCGTCCACTACCATCTCGAGACGGCGAAGCCGGCCTTGCTCTTTCTGACCGAGACGCAGGTTTCCTCTCCGGCTGATATTTCGTATCTCTCCTACCCGGGGTACAAGTTGGAGCACTCCTTTGTGACTCGGGCTGGAGTATGCGTGTATGTCACAGAGGACATCTGTTCTCGACGCCTCGGCAGTCTTGAAGGTTCGGACCTGTCCATCCTTTGGCTACGCGTAGACAGCGACGACCATCCGCACGTCTACGGGTGCCTCTATAGGTCCCATAGTGGCAATGCCGACACAGACCGACTCATCGACCACGTCCAAATGGCTACAGATTCCTTGCTACAACAGGTCCCATCCGCAGAGATCGTGATCCTTCGCGATTTTAACGCCCACCATGCTTAATGGCTCGGTTCACGTTTAACCGATCATGCGGGGAGAACTGTTTATGACTTTGCCTTGGCATATGGTCTGACGCAACTGGTTACTTCGCCTACGCGGATTCCAGATATGGAGGATCATACACCTTCCCTGTTGGACCTCTGCTGACCTCTAACCACTCGAACCACTGTCTGATCCGGAGTGTGGTGCCACTCACGCTCCCTTCGCGGTTGCGTTCTGCAGGTTGCCGCCGTGTTTGGCATTACAGGTCAGCGGATTGGGACGGAATGCGGTCTTTCTTTGTATCCTACCCATGGGGGTGGGTTTGCTTCTCGCCGGATGATCCCAGCGCTGTTGCTGACTCTGTCACTGATGTGGTGTGACAGGGAATGGAACTATTTATTCCATCATCTGTGGTACCCATCGGAGGCAGATCTCAGCCTTGGTTTGGTCACTCCTGTAAGACTGCATTACGCAGTAAGCAAGAGTGTTATCAAGCCTGGGCTGCGGCTTCGGCGACTCGGGACGTAAACACCAGCACACTTAAAAAGAAGTATAAATTCGCCTCCAGGTCCTTCAAAAGAGTTATTGCCAAGGCAAAGTCAGAGCACATAGGCGGAATTGGCGAGAAACTAGTTCGCCTTCCTTCGGGAACCCGTGCATTCTGGTCTCTCGCCAAGGTTGTCCAAGGGAATTTCTGTAAGCCATCACTACCATCTCTGCACAGGGAGGACGACTCACTGGCCCAAGACGCAAAAGACAAAGCTGACCTTTTAGGCTCCCTTTTTGCGT